AATGATGTGCATCTTGACCATTAAGGGTAAATAGCCCAGGCCAACCACATCTGTAGGCCACTGAGTCACCCCCACCCCTCAAGGCCTAAAGGGCGGGGCGAGGAATTCGAATAAATACCTGGCGCACCCAGAAGCATCCACCTCAGAAGAGGGGCTAGACAAAAAAGCTAGGGTCGTATGTTGAGGAACACAGCTGCTAGCCAGAGCTTGGTGGGCCAACAGCCAGTGGAATTAATACCCAGTATGATTTTTTTCAAATACAGTGAATATTAAATTATTTTTAAATTATTAGTTAATGAAACATGGCCAATTATCCCCTAAAAATAAACTCCCCCTTGCTTTGAGCACACTTATCCCGTCATTTTGCCACTTTCTGAAGCAGTTCTGGAGTCCTCCTCCGTGAGTGTCTGTGGTTGCACTGTCCTGGCTGCCTTGATGTGCTGAATCGATTCAAAACATTCACTTTTCATGGTCACTTTGACGTTAGGGAAGAGCCAGAAGTTATACACAGTGCCAGAGCCACTGGGTAAGGTAGATGAGGACACACTGTAGTGTTTTCGTGTGTAAATACTAAATAGTTTCTCTGGTGTGAGAAACTAAAAGTGTAAATAAGAATCAAAATGCATACTTGATCTTGTGAAATAGGAAGAAAAGGGCTAAAGGGGTAGGGAAAGTGGGAAGGGTTGGGGAAAGGAAAGAAGGGAGCAAAAAACATATAAGAAAAGGAAAAGCTGGAAACAAAGTCTTTGTAAATAAGGAGGGGAGGGGTGGAGAGGTTGAAGGGCGGGGAGGGGTGTGGGGAAAAACTAAGAATCAAGACCTGTCATGTAAAGGTACAAGGTTCCAATGATGCATGAACTGTACTGTATACTTAAAATGTACAGATAAACTTAATGGAGGAAAAAAAAAGAAATGGAAACTGTTGGTCAATGCCAGGTCACAGTGTTCAAATTAAAAATTTATTACAGGAAGAGACACATTGCATTGACCCCCTCAAGGTACTCGAAATATTCCCGCTCTCTTTGACACACTCACCCCATTGTTATTGGCCATGTGTCTTTTACTGTAATAAGCCTTTTAAAAATTTAAACATTCACTGTATGCTTTCAGTCACCCCTTGTGCTATGACCCCTCTCCTCTTGTTCTTCCCTGCACTTCTAGTACCTCGTAAGTGGCCCAGTGGAGCCACAGAACAGGGAGCAGGTCAAGGGACAAGCAGGGCCTTCTAGGGCCCCAAGAAGGAAAAAAGGAAGAGATCCAGAGAGTTCAAGGAGCCTCCGGCTTGCAAAATCTTGCACAAGGCCTCATTTTAAAACATGGCACTCTGTTCTAAGCACTTTGTGTATATCGTATCATTTAATTTTCATGCAGAATTAGAAGTCAAGTATGTGCCGGTGTGTGTGAGTGCCTGTACACATGGGTGTGCAAACACACATACACACATTCACACGCACGCACACTGCCATGTGCTGGAAACGCAGCAGAAATGCCGCGGCCCTGTGAGTGCTTCCTGTTCAGTGCAGCCAGCTCACTGACGCAGAGCTGACTTATTTTGGTAGGTGTTAATAGTACAGCCTTTTCAAAAGCTGAGGTAGAAAATAGACGTAATCGGTGAGCTGCGTGCGGAGCTCTGGGCTGCTGTCAGGGTGGAGGAGGCTGAGCGGCCGCCTGTGCTGCAGTGCTCGTTCTGCTCTGTCACTGTGTGGGTGGCGTGGGAGCAGGAGGCAGGTGGCTGCTCCCTGAAAAACGGGATTGGAGAGCAAAGCCCTGGGTATGGCCCGCGTGCCACAGAGCCACAGGGCTCCTGCCCTCTGACCAACAGCCAGGGCAATGGAAGAGGCGCCAGCCTGCATCTGCCTCGGACTTGGGGCAGAGAACATGAACTCAGAAATGATCTCAGGAAATAAATGGGCACCTTATCCTGCGTCCTAAACTGTGCTATGCATAGGCCATAGGAATGCTTATTTAAAAGGCAGATTCCAGCATTGCACCTCCGCGGGGCTGATCAGGAATCTGGGACTCTCTCTTCGGTGCGTTCCTCCGTGATACGATTGGTGCAGTAGGCTGTGGACCTCACTTGCACCAACACACTTCCTCGTGGTACTGGGGGTTGAACCAAGGACCTTTGCATAGAGCTACATCCCCAGCCATTTAAAAAGAATTGTTTTTGAGAAATGGTCTCACTAAATTGTCCAGGCTGGACTAGAATTGTGATTCTCCTGCCTCAGCCCCTCAGAGTGCTGGGCAACGTAAAGGAAGTGGGACTCTATAGCTTACAGGAAAGGGAAAACATGAACGCATGCAGTTAAAGGATAGGGAACGTGAGTGGAACTCTTAGCTAAAGGGTTCATGTGCATAAATCTTGGTTCAAGGATAAGCCAGTATGGTCAGTGGATGCAACAAAATCTGTGAGTTGATGGGAAGAGGGGCCACTTTTCCTGCTGCGTCCTAGAGCCCATCCTGTCGCTGTCAGGATGGCCAGGGTAGAGGAGATGGTGAACAATAGGAGTTGGCTCTTCCAAAGCACTCTAAGCTGGCCTTGCCTCCCTGAAGCATGTTCCCCAAATCCCAGGATGCCAAGTCTTCTGAGAGACCAGCAGTCTCCTTGGGATTGACTGTTGGAGGAATGTGGGCTGCAGAGATCTTGATTAGGGACTGGATGGCTTCCAGAGTAGAGATCTTGCCACCCAATTACAACCTTGGACATCACTCTCCCTCTTAAAAGCTCTGCTTTAAAAAATATTCTGTTTCTAGATAGGTGAAATAGAAATACTAAAGCTATTTTTATTGCCTCTGTTAGTGCAAAGATGAACAGTGATCACATTTAACCCCTATAAATAGAAAATAATAAATACTGAGTTCCTTCTACCTTTGGGATTGTGTCATTTATCTATTATGCAAAATGCTACTCAAATGAAAGGTACTGTTATTTTATTTCATCAACTTCAGGTTAGAAAGACTGTTCCACATTAGAAAACTGTTCTTGGAATCAATCACACAGATAGTTTCAGACTGAACTGTATTCTCTGTTTGCCCATATTCTGTATCCAAATCTCCCCAGTGGGGCATTCTTTTAGGTTGCTCTCTAGCAGGTGCAATACGTATTATGATTTTCATCGCTCCCCTTCTGAGAACATGATCCACTTACTAAAACAATTTAGAAGCCTATGGATCTGAGTTTTGTTCAGCCTCACACTCCTGGACTACTAGATGGACACTGTCAGATAAGAGAGGTCTGCAGAAAATAAAACTATATATCATACATATATTCAGCTGGAGATGTGGTTAATGCCTATAATCCCAGTACTCTGGGAGGCGCAGGCAGATGCACCACAAGTTTGAGCTCAACCTAGGCAGTGGAGGAACTGAGAGACCCTGTCACAAAATGAAAACTTAGAAAAGGCCTGAAGGAACAAAGAGGGACAGGAGAGAAAGGAAATGGGAAAAAAGAAAGGACTAGAAAAAATGGAAGTAGAGCTTCTGTAAGTGGGAAAGGAAACAAGAAATAGAGGAAGCAGGAGGGATGGGAGAAGTAGGAAACAGAAGAATTAAGATGGGTTATGTATCTGTACCAATTTCCCACGAAACATATACTCAGTATGTACTGCAAACATGTACTAATTTTAAAAAATACATCATGTGAATTTTCCCAGGTTTCCAAGATCAATCTAAGTTAAAATCTCATTTGAGCTTATGCCTTCGGCTAACTAAATTTTCTCACTCTTAGTTGCCATCCAGTTTCTTAGAAACAATAAATAACAAGACAAAAAGAATAAAAAAGGGGCTCAGTATGAAGGACCTGGCTTCAATTCCTGGTACTGCAAAAATCAAAAACATAAAAAATGCAGTCAGACTCCTAGGTATTTACCCAAATGAAATAACTACTTACACAGAACTTATACGGAGTTAGAATAATTTTAGCCATAATAAACAATCTGCGCTCCATCCACGTGTGGGCTAACACTCAGGTGTCGAAGCAACGCACCGCAGACACACACAGCGAAAATGAATCCACGGTGCTGTGTCAGGTGGACACTCAAGACTCACCTTGACACTATTAATTCTTTCCAGGTTCTCGGCGACTGGAACAAAGAATTGGACGAGACACCCCGAAAAGGAATCAAGGACTTGCAGTTGACATTGTGGGACCGGCGAGCTCCAGGGACAGAAAGCAGGTGGCTGGTCACGGGGCTTGACTGTGGGGGACGACAGGCTGGTGGACCTGTTCTGTCTTCGCGCACTGCTAACTTGCCTGTGTGCCCAACACTTAGAAAGGTGGCTTTTATCTGTGTAAATTGCACCTCCGTGCAAGGGAATACTCAATGTGAAGGAAAGAAACACCAGCGCATAAAAAGTAGGCTTGTTCAGATTGAACCCAACACACACCCAAGGGCAGAGCAGTTTCTACAAGCGGGCAGCTCCGATTTTGGCAGCACAGGCAAATGCTTAGGTATGAAGGTGATGGCCCTCTGATCTCTCCACGGACCCACAGCGCTTCCACACACACCTGAGGGGTTCTGAGCCCTACACACGGCCCCTTCGTGCTTACCCCAAGGAAACAAGGTGTTGGGCTGGGAACTTGAAAGAAATCAGACATCTAGGCGGGCAGGAATGCAAATGACTGTCCCTTCTTCCTAGTGTTTTTGTGTATTTTGAAATTGCTCTCCAGATATCTGTGCAATCCTAGAAGGCCAGGTTGGAGAACAATTACAGGGGCGGGGTACAGGGCTGCCAGATGAGAACAAAGCTCCTGCCAGTCAGTACTTTTAAACAGTTCCTAAGAGGAGTGAAGCAGCTGGCTTTTGTCACGGAGCTTCCCAGTATTCCTAGAATTCCACCTTAAGACAAGCTGGATGTACTCACCGCCAAATTCTCAGCATGGAAAAGTTTTGCTGAAGCAATGACACACAGCATCTGGATCCTTTGCACCCACATCTGGAAGCCACATGTCCGCAGCAGCTGTATAAAAGTCAGCCCAGCCAACCTAGGGTGCCACTTTTTGCCAAAAGCCAGGCAGCATGGACCTCTCTGTTCTCTCGGTGCTTCTGCCGCTGGTCACTGTGGCCTGGGGACAGTATGGAGACTACGGGTACCCATACCAGCAGTACCCCAATTACGGCGACGATGGCTGGGTGAATCTGAACCGGCAGGGCTTCAGCTACCAGTGTCCCCACGGGCAGGTGGTGAGGGCTGTAAGGAGCATCTTCAGCAAGAAGGAAGGTTCTGACAGACAATGGAACTATGACTGCATGCCCACGCTCCAGACCCTCGGGGAGCCCACAGAGTGCTGGTGGGAGGACATCAACAGGGCTGGCATGCAATGGTAAGGGGCAGCTGCTGCACTTGGGCTGGGATGTTTAACCCTTAGGGGGAGGCAGGGCCTGCAACCAGGTGCATCCTCCCTGGACGCTATCCTTACACTGCGTGCTCTGGGTGGTCAGCGCTCCCACAGACATCCTAGGACGAAGCCTGGGGCGAGGGTGTCCGTGCCAGAGGGGGTCTTTTGTGGCTCTGCTCAGACCAGAGGCAGCTCCAGCCTCAGTCTTATCCAGGGCCCAATATGGGTCTGCAAAACGACTGCGAAAGCCATGGGTCAGAAATTGAAATTACTGAAGAAAACGTTCAGTATTTTACAGTTGCTATAACATCAGAATGACATTTTCATTTTTGTAATGATCCATTTGTACTCTGTACCAAAGTATCGGTCCGCAGTTGTTTGGGGAGAATAAACAATTGAGCCCTCGGCAGAGATAGCTGGAGAAATATTGATTTAGAGCAAGTGAATGTAAGAGAGCGGGGACAAAGAAATTGAAGCAAAGGGATCTGAAATTAAATAGTCTTCGGTTGCTCTGATTAGCTGTGTTCTCTCAATTATGAATACGGAGACTCTCCTCTGTCTGAATTTAAAGAGGCTTCTGTGGCCAGAGCATAGTTTACTGAAAGCGTTTAGGGAGAGGTTCTGTCTCTCTGGCTGTGCTGTGTCCTAGACAACTGCAAAAATGGTCCCCGTTCACCCTTCTCTGTGAAAAGTGACTGTCCCAGCTGGGTCCCAGCCCTGTTTTCGCTCAGAGCTCATCCCAGTAGCCACTGATGGGCAATTAGTTATTCACAGCCTCCAAGAACAGGCTGGATTGCAGGAAGGGGCGAAGAGGGAGGTGGCCAGAGCTGGGAGAGTCAGGGCAGAGGCGGGAAACCTAGCTCCTGGAGCAAGAGGACAGCTCAGTGAGGGTTGGGAGTGGTCAAGTACAAGATCCTAAGTGTCCTGTCACCTGCCAGGGCGAGAGGAGGCCCCCACCACCAAGATAAGAAACCTAGGCCCGCCCTGCCCACAGAATGAAGTCACAGGCTGGCTGGCTCATGCTGCAGGAAACGAGTTTTCCAGACATGTCAGGAAGAGGCCCAAAGGGCTTTCATGAGGCAGAAGTGTGCAATGGAATACACACCCTCGAGAGAGGCGCATGATGATGCGGGAGCTGGGAATAGTCAGGTGGTCTTGGGGGTGTCTTCGGGTGGGTGGTCTGGGATGTGTGTTCCCTCTGTCTGTTGGGTCACCCACCTCTGCATCAGCATGTAAACGGTCTACACGCATTTGAAGTTGAGATATGTTGCTCATTAATACTCTGCTCCCTTGGGGGTGCAGGAGGAAGCCCAATTTACAGGTGAAGAGGTGGTCTCCTAGGAGATGATAAGGCCACTCTGCAGGTGGAAGGAAATTGCCCAGGCTTCCCACATCTTAGGAGGAGAGAGAAAAAAGAAATTAAACTGAGCTTCAGTAAATTTTGGATCCCGAAGCTACAGTTTCTCTTAAAAGTACGGTTTTAAAATTACAATTTTTCCTTGCCTCCTTTCTACCTTTAGTTTTTCTAGCCTACATCAGCCCAACACTAGCAATCCCAGAAGGGATTGAGCGAAAGGGCTTCTCATAAAAACAGTTTCAGTCACTGCGTGCTTATCCTGTGCGGGCCCTGTGTTCCACACGTATGGACCATCTCATTTAATGCTCTAAACAAATCTGTGAATCAGATTTGTTAGGTGGATAAACTGGTCTAGGGATCGAGTGGTTTTCCCTTGCTGGAAAGCTGGACTTGGATCCAGAAAGTCTTTAACTCCAAACAGTACATGCTTAGCCATCATGGTGGGATCCCAAGAACCAGCTGCCCCAGCCCTGTGTGGGCTCCAAGCCATAGCTGCCCCTCCATAGGCAGAACGAGGGCCACAGACCAGACTCAGGCTGGGTTCTCATCTTGAGGGTAGGGGAAGGTCCTGCAGGATCACAGCAGAAGCCCAGCCCTGAAGGGGTCAGCTTGGTTACTGTGACCAAGGAGGGGCCCAGCAGCCTGGGGAAGGGGTGGGCTGAGGCTTAGGGACTGAGGTTGCAGAGGCTGCTGGGACAGCTTTTAATGCATCCACACCTTCTGCCTCTAGCAAGCAGATTTAATGACCCCAAACTCCTTCAGACAGACAGCTGAGTCAGAGATCTGCCTGGCCCTAGGACAGACTCCTATGAGTTCCCACAGCCCAGCACACGGAACATGACAATGACCTAGTTACAGTAGTCCCTCCAGTCCCCCGTCTCAGTGGACCTTTGTGTGGACAAGGCCTCTTTCTGACATCCCTTTGTAGAACCACAATAAAATGGCATGCACAGAAGATTCCTCAGACCCTAAAGAGGGAGTCCTGGGCTCTGAGTCAGAAGGTCTGGGCTGGATCCTGGTGGCCGTGACAATGCGCAGTGTCACCCTGACCCAGGGCTCGGCCCCCAGGCTCCCACCTCATTTGGAAAACGAGCGCTCAGACAGCACCCTCTGAGAAGGCTCCACAGGGCTGGGCCTCACGCTCAACATGCACTTGGCTTGTTCTCATGTTCTGTGTTCATACCTGCTAAGGAGAGGAGACACATGGTGTTTAGTTGCGAACTTGCCAAGTGGTGACTGGTTTGCCATGAAGTTCCAAAATACCTTAAGGAAAGCAAAAGAGGAAGTAGATGAAATAACATGTTTCATTTTGGCCCATGAGGGAGTAGTGAAAAGCACACCCCTTCCCCTCCTCTTCCTCTCCTTGCAGGAGGAAGGATGGAGGCATTTTTGCTTTGCTCTCTCTGCCCTCTGCTGCCGCCTTCTCCCCTCCATTCATCACAGGGCTGAGAACTCACAAACAAGCCAAACAGCTTCTTGACTGTAGGACTCCGCTGCCCCAGGAATGATCCCAATCGCTCTCCGGGCATCTTTTTTTTTTTTTTTTTTT